CTTTATCTTAGAGAAGGTGCATTTCGCCACACCAATCTTTCTTTGTCACTGTTAGTCAACTTCGCACCTCTTTTTTCTCCCTTCAATTTTCATTTTTATTTTGATTTGAATATATTTGACACTAGAGATTGTCTACGTGTTGCGTAGATTTAAAAATTAACATGATAAAATATGCAACAATTCTAGCTTATTGATTATTTGTATATTTAATATTTAAAAAAAATAYACTGTTCATTAATAAAAATTACAGCGTATGCATATGGAAGATATCTTCGTTTGAACAAATCCGTAATTTGTATATCTTTATCAATATTAACTACGATTTCCTAAAAAATGATTGGTCGTCTTTTTTCTTGCATCGAATACGTTTGTAATAAAAAATTATTGATCAGACAAGTTGTGGTATGTTATGTTTCTATCGAGAAAGCTGCATTATCTCAACAGATGTTGGAATGCATCTTTGTGTTTTATTTCGTTAGAACCTTAAATTGTAAGGAAATAATACTTGATGTTTGATTGTATTTTTTTTTTGTTTCACTCTTTATCGTTTTCTGCGATTTTTATTTTTCACATCAATTCATTTGTGAATTATTATGTTTTTCTAAATTCACAATTTATGGAGAAATAAGGTTTCCTTTCGAGAATATTGGTTAGGAAATTATTGACAACTTTGCATTATAACAACCTTTAAATTTCTAAAATCACTAATTAATTTTTTTACACCATTTTTTTGTTAATGTTACAATTCTTTTTATTAAAAATTTTTGTGACTTTATTTTTATGAATTTTTGTTTTAAAATCGTAGTTACCTATCTAAAGTTTTAAATGTATTTATTGTATATATATTACTAAATTTAATAAATAAAATATATATTTTTCAAACCATTAAAAATTTACAATAATACATTTAGTTTAGCACTATAATTTTTGGTGGATATCAAAGAAAGAAAAAACTTAAATTGGTCATCTTTATGTTACAATTTAATTTTTGAAATTAATTTACATTAAACTTAGTTATTAAATTGTGAAAATTAATTGTTAAAATTATTAAAAATACTTAATTTTTTTTTCTTTTCAAAATGTCATCATCCCATCTCATGATTTGGATTTAGAAAACTTTAAAATATTATATAAGATTGATCTTATATATGTACTTGACAAGAATTAGTGCTTTCAATTTTCTGAAAACACGTCTGGATATATATACTTTTCAGTTAGTTGCTAAATACTTTAATTTAAAAGTGCCCAAAATATATACATTAGAAAAAAACAAAATATGTTTTAGGATGATTTGGTATCATAAACTGAACCTGAGATTTTAGAAATGTATCTGGCTGATATTATCATATTTTATCTCATTTTGATACGTTTTTAACCAATGTTTTCAATGGGGTTTCGAGTTTTTTCTATATTTTTAGAGTATTTTCAGGTTGAAACACATTTGGATGGAGTTTGAGGCAAATGAATAAGGAATGAGAACAAAGGAGCATAAAATGGCCAGAAGTTTGGCATTCGTTGAATGAATTTCCACCTATGGATCGAGCTCTAATTTGGAGACAAGATAGAGCACTGAGATAGCTTTCATTTGGCGGTGTTTTGAAGTCAATCGGATAAGTGGAGCAAAAGTTATATTATTTCTGGCGAAGACATATTTTGCTGGAAACTGACATCGGGGGCTCCCATCAGGCATACACCCCCGATGGCAGAAACCAAAATTTTTATTTCTCCTGCAGTTTTTCATATCCGACCCAACTTCGCCTGGATCGACCCAATTTCACCTGGATCAACCCAAATCCGACTTTTAAACAAATAAAACCCTATTTTCGTTTCTGGTGAGGGGAGGTTCGATTATTCATTCAAACTTTGAACTTTTTGCAACT